TGGCAGGGCGGCTGTGGGCGGGGGCGCGGCATGTAAGCATAATTACAATATAAAATGTTATTGTTACAAATGTTTTTTATTATGCATTTATCATATTATAGTGTATTCTGTATTATTGTTGCAATGAATAAAATGTTTCTTTTATTTATGATTTTTTTTTCTTCAATTTATTTGTGTCCTCCTTTTCATTGTAAAAAAGTTGGTCACCTTAGTAAAGTGCTTAGAGAGTGCTATAAAGCACTATGAAATGATATATACAAATATACAAGGCAGGTGTCTGGGGCTGTGGGAGTGCTGAGTTAACTTTTTAAAATCAAAGTTTTACACATAAATCCTTTTCCCCCCAATAAAAAACAAATGTGTTTATTACATGATATATAATAGATAATACCATTTATACATATTATATTTTTAAAACATGCATATGTACAAAACTACAATATAGTTTTTCAAAGAAGGCATATTCTACAGCGTTATAACTTCTGGCTGAATAGAATAGTTTAAGAAAACAATCTTAAGGTGCTATTTGAACTATTATCACATATTTGACTTATCAGTTTGCATTTTACTTAACTTATTCCATTTACTCATTTATATTTCTTTCCTTTATTTAATGAATAGACAAATTTAATGTAATTGCCTAACTAGGTTGATTTTTATAGTTATTGTGCTAAATGCATCTCTATATGGGTCTGTCTATGGTTAGTATAAAATAAGAATAGAGATTAAAATGAAGGAGCCTTTGCTACCCAAGGGGGCCCAATCTGTGGGGTTTCAGATGTTGCCGAGCTGTAAATCTAATTCCTAGGATTCTCACCACTATTGGCTGCCTTTTAGCCTGAAATACAATCTAAAATCTGTTGATAAGGTTAAAATGCTGAATGTTGAAGAAACAATGTGGTAATGAATAAGTGATTAGAACTGACAAAAATTGAAAGCAAATTAATGTTCATAAAATAAGGACAGGGAAGATGGCAAACGACCAATTTGCACAGTCAGCAAGAGTTTGTTTCCTAATTTTGTTCTGTTGAATGACTTCCTTTATCTACCTCACGTTTAGATTTTTCTAAAGTATATTTTCTTCTTTTTATTTGACTTAGTATATGTGAGAATTGAGCTCACTAAATATATTAAAATATTAGAAATATAGAAAACCATAGCTAAAGCAAAAGATCCCCCATTCTCCGTAATTATACTGTTAAAAAAACCTTTGAAAAAGAGAATTCAAGAAAGGTTTTGAAAAGAGAGAAATAATATCAGTCTGGCTCTGCTATTATAATCATTTATATATGCTTTCTTTGAATGATCTTTAAGTAGTAAATAAAATTCAAAGTGCAAAAAAAAGAAAAATAGAAAACTATTTTACTCCTCTACTTTGGTATTTTAATTTTATTAAATGGCTGGTAGTGAAATGTTTTCATTCACTTATTACATGCTTCTCTGCATTAATATACCTCTGCTGAAATATAATTTTTTAAAGTTTAACATTTTAAAATTATTACAAAAGTAACACTTTGCTTCTGTGAATAGATGCTAATGAACTCGATACCTTAAAATCTTTCTAGGTATGTTTATTTATCTTTGCTCATTCCACCAAAAGTATCAACATAATAAAATAAAATATTTCATCACTGTGCATAGGGGAGCATACCAACTTTAGTACAGATATAGAAGCATTTATGTAGCTTAAATGATTATAAATGAGAGGATTTTTTGCATGAAGAGTTTATCTTATCTGTGTATTATATAGTGCAAGGGGGTCCAGTTGAAATCTCTTCCAAGAAGAAGATAGCAAGATCAATTTATTTGCTAAAGTTTTCTTTGGACCCTTAAATTTCTATACCCAATATTTTTTCCTCCTAATTTTCCCCACAATAACAATAACCTAACTAGGAAGTCAATTAGGTTGAAAACTAACTAATAAAGAGCTCACACTTAGGACACAATAGAATGAATATGCTTCTTTTCAGCTTTCATTAAGATGGAAGTGATAAAGAGAAGGTATGCAGGAAATCGTCAACTTATGACCATAGTTGAGCCCAACATTTCTGTTGCTAAGTGAAACACTTGTTAAGTGAGTTTTGCCCCATTTTACAACCTTTCTTGACAGAGTTGTTAAGTGAATCACAGCAGTTGTTAAGTTAGAACATGGTTGTTAAGTGAATCTGGCTTCCCCATTGGCTTCGCTTGTCAGAAGGTCACAAAAAGTGATCACGTGACCCCAGGACATTGCAAACGTCATAAGTTTGAGTCAGTTGCCAAATGTCTGAATTTTAATCATGTGACCATGATGATGCTGCAATGGTTGTAAGTGTAAAAAAATGGTCATAAGTCACTTTTTTCAGTGCCGTTGTAACTTTGAATGGTCACTAAATGAACTGTTGTATGCCGGGGTCTACCTGCGTTCATGTTGGTCTGGATGTGAGTACAACTTTCAATAGGATCCAGGGCCCTATTTTAGTTACGTGCTGGATCACATGACACCTGTCCTTGCCTTCAAATCAGTACTGTATGTTCAGATCTCCAGATCTCCTTTCTCTACAGACAAAAAGGACTGGTCTGAGCGCAAATCTTGCCTGTGTTCCACTTTCCATACATTCAAGGAAATGTCTGAATAAGTTATAATGATGGCCCAAAGTCCTCCAGTGAATTTTCATAGCTGAAGATGAACTTGCAAATTGGTCTCTTGAGTCCTGGTCTAACACTTTAAGCACTGAACCACATGTGATAATCAGTGCTATTTTAGAGAGGCCCTCATACTTTGGAAGTCATTTTTCTGGAAACGGCAGGGAAAAAGAAAGATAAACAAATTGTGTACAAATCTTGTTTAAATAGCTGTTAAATTAGCAGGAATTGGGCCATAAATATATGAACTGTAGGAAAAATTAGCTTTTCATGAGGAGCCACTGTAGTGAAACAGCTACTACGGTACTTTTTTTTTTTTTTTTTAAAGGAGCCTATAGCTTCAAATGTCCATAATTATGTCTATAACCAAGTTTAATACTGGTTCCTTCAGTATGATAACATACAACAAGCTTGATAAAGGCATTAAGTGGTAATTCTTAAATATATCTTGATATGGATTTCCCCACACATTAACGCCTATTTTGAAAAAATTCTTTATTTTTCTATTTTTCAGTTATAAACCAGATTTCCACTTTAATGAAACTCCGTATCAAATGAGACATAAATACAATCATATTTACGGTGTAGTGCTTGCTATATTGGGGAATAAAGAGGAAAAACAGTAGGCAATTGCACACAGACTCCTTTCTTGTTGATACCCTTATTATACCCTTATTATACCCTTATTATACCCTTATTATACCCTTATTATACCCTTGTTGATACCCTTATTATGGCTTTTCTAGCTAGGAATTGTTCTTGTTCTTGTTATTTTAGATTTATAGGCTGTCTAATGATTCTAGACATCTTACACTTAAAAAAGAGTAAACAATGAAAAAGGGTGTTTTATTCTAAAATTTGGTTACTTTTTAGAGTAAGAATGTTCTTATTAAAGAACTGGCTCTTTTTTTACAGCAGTCTCCATATATCTATATTTGTGAGTATTTTTTTTAAAATGGCTAGTTAGATATTCTGAAAAGCCGTGGTAGCACAGTGGTTAGAATGCAGGATTGCAGACTAATTCTGCTAACTACCAGCAGTTCGATCCTGACCGCTCAAGGTTGACTTAGCCTTCTATCCTTCCGAGATTAGTAAAATGAGGACCCAGATTGTTGGGAGCAATATGCTGACTCTGTAAACCACTTAGAGAGGACAGTAAAGCACCATGAAGCAATATATAAATCTACGTGCTAAGTGCTATTGCTGTTACATCAGTTCAGTTATTCTCTGCACCATGAAGCAATATATAAATCTACGTGCTAAGAGCTGTTGCTTTACATCAGTTCAGTTATTCTCTGTAAAATGTGTAACGGCACTACAGTTGTTTAAATTAAATTATTTCTGTAAACAATTTGCTTCACCTATCAGAGAAAACAATGCAAGCTTGAATAAAAGTGTAGTATTTCCATAAGTTTCTGCCTGTCTCCTTGTACGTATTTATAATCTGCCTGCGTCTTTGTATTTATAATCTGTTCATTTCATTTTTTCCTGAATTTTACACCGATTTGTGTGCTTTGGTATCCCCTGAGATTTCTCTAGCATTTCCTTGTCTGTAGGCATCTTTGGACCTCTTTGAAATATCTTTCTCCATATCTAGAAAGCAGGTGACATTTTGTTTCCTTGTAGGGGAGTTTTCAGTGATAGTCAGTGATAGCTTCAAGATGCATACATGCAAAAAGGGCAAAGCTGATGGCATCATGCTGCTTTCATTGTTTGGATGAAAGCATGAGACATTTCAACAGCTCTGGATAATGTATTTGGTTACTTTTTAAAACAGATTATTTTGACAAACTCCTTGTTATAAAATATTTTAATTGTTTAATTAAATTAAAATATTGTCTTGTAGAGTAATGAAAATAAAATAAAGAATCCATTCAGGTTCAAATTACAATCATTTGTAAATTATGAAAACAATCTTTCCCTCCTTTCTGGGTTGTACTTTCAACATACATCTTAATTTCTTTTCCTTCCCAATTAGTTTTGGGATTTCCACTCATATTTCTGGGTGGAGGTTAAAAAAAAGAAAAAGGAAAATGGAGATATGTGGCTTTCTGATTCTAAATATACAGTAGCTATACTTAGGGAAACTGTAAAACAACATAATCACAGATACACAGATTCTGGGCTGCTTGCCTTGAACCTTCTACCTTAGTTTATGAGCTACATACAAAAATCATCCAAATTAGAAGCATTTAACAAAAAGTATGTAGTAAATTGATACTGGTTCTCTGTGTTAAGAAAATGGGCTGCTATTTTTTAGAATTTGTGGATTCTCTTCTGAAATGATCTTGGACATTCTGTTAATTATTTTTCTACTAAAAGGAGCAGTAATTTTGGAAAATAACTTAGTTTATTATTTTTTATTTTTAGTGCGGCATTTGGAGATGACAACTAAAAGGAAAATTATTGGCCGCCTGGTGCCATGCCGATGTTTTCGAGGGGAAGAAGAAGTAATTTCAGTGCTGGATTACTCCCACTGCAGCCTTCAGCAAGTGCCAAAGGAGGTTTTTAACTTTGAACGGACATTAGAGGAGCTTTATCTAGATGCCAATCAAATTGAAGAGCTTCCTAAGGTAAACGCTTCCTTTCTATAATATGTAAATGCAGCTGTCTAGCTAAATGAACTTTTGAAGTGTACTCTATGAAAAGAACTTTCGGTATAGGCAAAATTCATTCTGGTGGGTAATAACACCCGTTTTCTAGTCTTTAGAAAAGTTGCTTCTGTTGGCTTTGCTTGAGTTATAAAAAATTACATAATAAGATAAAACTTGATTTTGTGCCTGCAAGTGCATCAATTCAAAATTCTCCATTAATTCATAATACTGAGACATCCCTGGAAGAATTGAGATATTGCAAGGGCCCCAAACTTTTTTTTTCTTTTTTCTTTGCTAGTGGGGAAATTTGGAATTTTTGCAGCCCTGTATGATTTTTATCTACTGGTGCTAGGAATGTGCTGGGTAGTTTTGCAAACAAAGATTAGCCCATGCCAGGGCTTCTTTTATTTTTTTAATTAAAAGAATCTAAATAATGAAATAAAATTGGAGAGGAACATGGATTTAGAGCCTTTAGTGTGCCCAGGGACCCATTTCTAGGTTGTATGGATATAATATTTTGTTGACTGTTATGTATTTTAAATTTTGTATTGTTGTAGTTGTTTTTATTTTATTTTAATTTTGGGCGCTTCCCAGAGTCACTTGTTGAGATGGGTGACTATACAAATAGATAGATAGGTAGGTAGATAGATAGATAGATAGATAGATAGATAGATAGATAGATAGATAGATAGATAGATAGATAGATAGATAGATAGATAGATAGAATCTTAAGTTTTTGTGTAATGTGAATTTATTTCATTACTTATCAAGACATTTATCATTTAACATTTGGTATTATTAATTATCCGTTCATGAAATATTCTTTATGCATGGAATGTGAAGCTTGGATTATACATATTCAAAACATATTTACTTACTATAAAGTTTAACAGATTTTGATGTGTCTTACTCTCTGTGTAAATAGGACTATATTAATACCTCATTACCTTAATTATTAACTCCCATTAATTTCAACAATAAAATTAAACTTGTGTTTAAAACTCTGCTATTACTCTGTAGAACTTACTGGAGGCTAAAACATACAAGGAACAGTTGCTGGAATTGGGTATGTCTAGTTTAACGAAGAGAAGGACGAGGGGGGACATGATAGCAGTGTTCCAATATCTCAGGGGCTGCCACAAAGAAGAGAGAGTCAAACTATTCTCCAAAGCGCCTGAAGGCAGGACAAGAAGCAACGGATGGAAACTAATCAAGGAGAGAAGCAACCTAGAACTAAGGAGAAACTTCCTGACAGTTAGAACAATTAACCAGTGGAATAACCTGCCTCCAGAAGCGGTGAATGCTCCAACACTGGAAGTTTTTAAGAAGAGACTGGACAGCCATTTATCCGAAATGGTGTAAGGTTTCCTGCCTGAGCAGTGGGTTGGACTTGATGACCTCCAAGGTCCCTTCCAACTTTATTAGTATTAGTATTAGTATTACTCTACTATTAGAAATATCCATTCAACACTAAACTGAGGCTTTGCTTATCTCTTTTCCTATCCTTATAGCCCAGTTCAGATGCTTGATGCAATGACGTTTTCATTCCGTTGAACAATTGGAACAATTTAATTATATTCTCCAGAAGTTGATAGAAAGTGATATACATAACCAAGTCATTTCCTAGCTGTACATCTATGTTATAGAAAAGGCCCTGGATATCAATTCATAATTTTCTGTCTCATAAAAGTGTAATGGAGTTTGATAGAGGTCAGTTTCTGTTGTATAATTCAGGGGTGTGTGTGGGGGGGGAAGGTACCTTGGAGGTCATCTAGTCCAACCCCCTGCTCAGGCAGGAAACCCTATACCATTTCAGACAAATGGCTGTACAGTCTCTTCTTAAAAACTTCCAGTGTTGGAGCATTCACCACTTCCGGAGGCAGGTTGTTCCACTGGTTAATTGTTCTATATATATATATATATCAATCATAGTGCATTACTATGTATTTATATATTAAGATGTTATTTGAAAAACTCTGGCTTAAAAATAGCATAAAGCATTGTATATATTCAACAAAATATAGGTTTATGCTATAGATTGTATCTTAAAACTAATAGTACATATTTTAATATTTATTCTTATACTTTTGACATTGTCACTAAAGTGATCATTCTCCTCCACCATCTTCCTGTATCGCTGCTGCTGAATATAGATGCCTGCTTAATTTAGCTAAGAAACTGGGTTAACTTTCACACCTTGGAATGTACATTTTCAGTGTCCATGCCTGGTATTCTTCACTCATCCCCCTCCAGACTCATTCCTGTTCTGTTCTCCACAATAAGGCAACATAACAGAATTTAGGAGAAAATACCAATTAGAGGTGATATAAAACTATCATATTCCAGTGCATCATTTTGCTATCGAATGGCTAAATTCACATGAATGTTTTTTGTTCAGTGTGAAGGCATATCATAATAGATATTTTCTAACAGGATATAAGTGCAAAAGCCCCTTCGGTTTACATTCTGTAGCATCTGGCATAGCAATGCATACTACATTCTCATAACCATGATCTTGGAACTACCACTACAATTGGTGGTGGTGGTGGATTACCAAAATTTGATTTTTGACTTTGTGAAATTAAGATTGGTCAAGAATGGCCAGGCCCATTAGGACTCAGTTTCAAAGAAGACAGAAGTTAGTTTTATTCTCCGTTGGCAGCAGTGTGAACGTTCATTTTAGTTAATTTTCTGTTTATGAGGGGAAAAAACTGTTAACTTCCTGATGTGTAATAACCTGGAATTTCTATTTCTCTGACTATAGAACAGGAAGTATATATCAAATGTTACTACTACCAAGCTATTACTTTACTCAATAGTGTTGCTTTGTTTCTGGTATTTGTCATACAATCAATACAATGAAAATGAACTCAGTTTATCACAATAGTAGGAACAGTGGTAATAAGAGTAGGAGTGCCCTGCCAGTGCTAAAAAATAACAAGGTGTGCTGGCAGAATGTAGTCCATTTTTCTCTTCATGGTTTTTGCTGTTGGGCAGAGTAAGAGCCTTTGCTTCATTAAATCTATCTTATGTCAAAACAGAAATTTGAGAGTTTATGAGAGACTGTTTGCTTGTACTGTATACTTTGTTGCATTGATACATACCATTTGTTTCTAACTGAATATACCTGCCTGTAGAATTAAACCTGTGTGTTTCATTGGCACTGATTCCAAATGAAATTGCTCTTCAAGGACTATTGTCTGTTTAGAAGTTAAGCATGAGCTATACCCACAGTAATACAATAACTATGGATATAGGAGGCATTTGAAAAGGCATATGTGTTTCATCACCTACAGTAGTATACCTGAGGGCTCCAATTGCTGCCATTCCCATTTATTTTTCTCCACATCTGCTGCAGTTATAGAAATTAATTGTTCACAGCTTCAACCCATGACTGTTGTGCCAGGTTTGCCTCTAACCATATTGTGAAATAGGCGGAGGATACAAAAGTAGTGGGCCTTATTCAAGATGACAATGAGGGTACTTACCGCAAGGAAGTAGAGGGTTTGGTGAACTGGTGTAACAAAATCAACATCATTGTTGATTTCAGAAAAGGCAGGCACAACCACATACCTCTGTGTATTAATGATTCCCCTGTGGAGGTGGTTAGCAATATCAAGTTTCTGGGTGCACAGCTAACGAGTAGACTAGCTTGGTTGCTCAACAATGAGACATTGGTGAAGCAGGCACAGCAGCACCTGTATTTTCTGAGTCGCATGAGAAAAGCACACCTTCCTTCCTTACTACTTTCTGTAGAGGGATGATCGAGAGCATCCTGTCATATTGCATTATTGTCTGGTTTGATAGTATTACTGCTTCAGACAGGAAAGCGGTGCAGAGAATGATATATATATATATATATGGGATATATATAGAATAGCATACACACACACACACACACATATATATATATATATACACATACACACACATATAACACATATATGTGTATACATGCATATATGTATGTATGTATATAGCATGTATATATGTGTGATACATATGTGTATGGGTAGATATATACTTTCGAGAGCAGGCAACAGAATTTCATTTTTAATGTGGGTCAGGGTGCTCATAGTAAAAAAGAACAATAAAGGTTATCTTATCTATCTTATAGGTGGAGAGTGAAAAATAGGATTTAAAAAAAATCATTCATTTCTCGCCTTCTATGAGATAATTTAAAAAAATCAGAAACTTGGTTTCCTAGCAATTCCTCTTTATGCCATCACACTTCTCTTTAGTATAATCTTCCTCTAAAAATAGAAACATCAAAAAGTTTTTTCACTCCTCCCCCCCCCCCCCGACTCTGTCTGCCCAAGGAGCTATACCTCACATTTTGGGAAACCCTGTTTTATAGTCTATTGAAGCCACAGGGATTTAAAGCCTTCTTGGGAGGATTAAGATGGTTGAGAAATAATGTTGCAGAAGTCAACCAGAACTAGACCTCACAGTTCAAGAGTAAAATATTTATATAGACCAGTGATGGCAAACCTTTTAGAGACCGAGTGCCCAAACTGCAACCCAAAACCCACTTATGTAATGTCGGGTGCCAGGTGGGCGTGGCCCATTGTGGGCGTGGCTTCAGTGATAATGGCAGACTGGGTGGGACTAAAAAGTTCAATCAATCAATTCCAACTTTGCAAGATCTTTTTTTTTCCTGCAAGAACTTGAAATTGACTGATTGATTGAACCTTTTTTTTGCACACATCAGCAGAGGCCTAAAGCGAAAAGGTTTTATAAAACCCAGCTGAAGGCCTAGGACTGGGGCGACGGTGCGTATGCCCACAGAGAGGGCTCTGCGTGCCACCGGTTCGCCACCACGGATATAAACTATTCCAGGTCTATAGAAAAGTCTTTTGAAGTTATTTAAAGTATCAATATCAATCCTTCCTGTCACTTCCCCTTAAGAGGAGAGGGTCATGCTTGCTTAATATGAGAGCCCGTTGGTCTAGTGGGTTAAAGCACCAGGCTAGAAAGTGGGAGACTGAGAATTCTAGTCCTGCTTTAGCTATGAAAGCCAGCTGGGTGATCTTGAGCTAGTCACTCTCTCTCAGCCCAGTTTAGCTCACCAACATGGTTGTTGTTGTTGTTGTGGGAAAAATAGGAGGAAGGTGTGTGGGGTATGTTTTCTGCCTTGAGTTATTTATAAAAATAAAAAAGGCGGTATACAAACAAATAAATAAAAATCCTTCAATTTTAACTAATACAATGTGTAGATAAGTTTTGTTTTTCACAGTTCCTTATCAGCAAGTGTTGACCTTAAATCAAAAAAATAATCCTTGTCATTTTTCTGTAGAGTTCAAGCCTACAGCTCCATGCATATAAAAACGTTTTAAAATCACATGCTTTTGTTGAACTGTTTAGTTTAAAGTCATTGAGGCACAAATACACCAAATAAGCCTAACATCTTCTTACATATTAATTGGTCAGACAGTACTAAAATCCAAAGATTTCTTGGCATTTCTTAAGATCATGAATTACACTAACAAAGCTATAATGACAATTTATATTTTTCAAGACCAAAATGATTAATTGTCATAAAGCATCTTTCAGACATGCTAAAATCCAAATCTTTTCCAACTATGGAACTTTTGAGATGCCTTTCAGGGTTGAGAATTATGACATTATATTGAGAATATATATTTCACTGTACCTTTATGCTAACAATATGCTAACAGTAATATTGACAATGTAGACATTTCTGCCTAAAAAGAATACACAGATTGAAGATGTTTTCAAGTTGAGTTTAATTCCTGGTGACTTGAACGGATCATCCATGCAATTTTCCCAGCATGATGTAATACTTCTGTTACAGCTTTCTGCTGTTATTGTTTGTTTACTTCCCACTATAATTAAAACCCTAGACAAGACTTAAGCATGGGTACATATTACATGTCAGTAATATCAATTTAAATGCTCCAGATCATTATCGTTTTTGGACAAATAAGATTTCTTGAGAAAATGTATATAATAAAAGGGCTGTAACAACTGTTTCATGAACAGTTCTCACATTTGCTATATTATTTATTTCACAATAAAAAGTGGATGAAAACATTATTCCTAAGAGAACCATTTTCATAATGGAAAACAGTTTACTTTAAGCTGCTATTTATTTGTGCCAAAGAGTGGCTTTTATTCAGTTGCTCTCAGACTTCTAAAGAAATACATTTTGAACAGATAGGTCACTTCATGAAATATATCAAAGACAGTTATGCAAATGCAAATCTGCATACTAGATGTCTCAAATATCTTCATTTGCAGTTTATTCAACATACATTCTACAAATTTTAATTTCCCATAGGTTAGATGTTTACCCTCTAAAAATAATAAGTTTTATTAATTCTACTGTGAGCACCAGTTTGATGTAAAGGTGAAATCAGGAGGCTATGAATTCTAATTTTGCTTTAAGAACAAAACCAGCTGGGTGACTTGGACCAGTCATTCTTCTTCAGCCCTAGAATGAAGGACAAACCACTTCCGAAAATGTAGCCAAGAAAACAGAAGGGATTTGTCTAGGCCAATAGCCCCCAACCTTTTGGGCACCAGAGACCAGTTCCATGAAGAAAGTTTTTTCCGTGGAGTGGAGGGGGCATGGTTTTGCATGCTGCCTGCATCCTGCAGATGGGGCTTTGCTTGTTTGTGCAGCCCGGTTGCTGACATGCCACGGACCGGTGCCGGTCCACGGACTGGGGGTTGGGGATCCCTGGTCTAGGCAGTCACCTGCAGTCAAAACTGACTCAGACACACATGCACACACATAGCAAATCCTACAGCAGCAGGATTCTCCTTCTGCTTTAATTCATAATTAAATAAAATGCTATGAATTTTAAATAGTGGTGTTATTTCCCTTTTTAAAATGATAAGATGATCATCTGATCAGCATGTGCCCTCTTCTTACCTTTATAATTCTGCAAAATCATACATACCCCCAAGTTTTTCTCAGTAAACTTTCTATTTTTTGAACTCTTGTTAGGAAACTTTGTTAACAGAAAAACCTTATTAATCTCTCTTTGCTAGTTACATATGTTCTTACTGTTTTTATGTAGAAGATAATGTACTCTCACGGTGAAGTAGAAACATGATTAAAGAGATTAAAGAGAAAATTCTTCTAATATGTCTACTGATTCTTACTGGCTATGAGTATATTGTATATATTCTGTTTTATGCTCTCTTTTAGGATTGCTCTAAACATTAAAACATACTAAAATTTTATGAGAAATTTTATAACTGTTTTTCTTTTGATTTTTTAGCAATTATTCAACTGTCAAGCTCTACGTAAACTGAGTATCCCAGACAATGACCTTTCAAGCCTGCCAACCAGCATTGCTAGTTTAGTTAATCTCAAAGAACTTGACATCAGTAAAAATGGTAAGAAGAAAAATATGTTTCATTTTCTTTCACAGATTCAAAAATATTTAGCAAGGGAAAGATAATAGTTATTGTATTCTTTTTTTCACGAGATTACAAGTATACCTAACTTTATTTCCAGAATATTATATATGGATAATTTAAAAGCAAACACATTTGAATAAAAAGCTTTCTTGATTTGAGAACACCTACTACACTGAAATACTCAACTGCCATCACATAATAACCACATTTCAGAAAACTGCACAAAATGTTAGTGTTTGAATGCTATTTGCTGCTGTTCCCTCAGTAGTTGAATTCTGTATCTATCTGCCTTGTTTAAGCTGATGTAGGGAAATAGAAAGAGAGTAAGTCAGCAGAGCCATTGTAGTAACTACTTCAGTTTTCAGAAGAGCCCCATTATTCCCATAAGGATAAGATACAAGTTGTTAGTATACCTTAAATATATTTCATTTTGAATTTAAATTGCATTTCCACAATCAAAACTATTTCAGTCAATGTTAACTATAACAAAATAATTTCTTATTTTGGTAAACAAATTCTTTATGCAAATTGGTTAACTTTTATAAAATAGAAAAAATACTTGCTGCTCTTGTTAATGTAGAGCAGAGGTGTCAAACTGGTGGCCTGCGGGCCGGTTGCATCATACAGAGGCCGCGCCCACCCCAGCTCCAGCAATGTGAAAAAAGTCAGAATACGTTGCGACACATCACGTGACATGGCGAGTTTGACACCCTTGATGTAGAGAGATATATGTACAGCATTAAATAATATAAATGTCATATTTCATTGTGAACCAGTATATTACTATGAAACCAATGCATAGTCGATTAGTTTACAAATAGCCTTCTAAATTTAAGTTGAAGCTACAGAATTGATAGTCTTTTACTGCATTGGTTGGACTCAGAAACTATAATTCAGTAACTAAGATTGTAATTCAGAAACTAAGATAAAAAAAGTGGAAACAAAAATTGGAGTTTGAAGAAGAAGGATAAAGTATTACTGCTTTTGAACTTTGTTTTGGAGAAGACATGAAAATACTATGGTGGATAGCTAAGAAAACAAATCAATGTGTCATTGAAAAGATCAACCCAAAGTTCTCATTCAAGGCACAAATGATCAGGCTCAAATTACCATTCTTTGAACACGGTATGCCTTTGAACACCTAAGGCTATGGAGGAGGATCTAATAGTGGGAAACGTAGAAGGAAAGAGAAGAAAAGGACAATTAGCAGGACAATTAAAGGACAATTAGCAGGGTTGATGGACTTTTGGAAGACATGACAGACCAGGCTAGGGACATATCTTCATGAAGAACATCTAGCGATTGGGGTGCTAAAGTCAACAACAACTTGATGGCCCTTAATCAATCAATCAGGATAAAAAACATTTAGGAAAGGCCTAAGGGAAATGGGATCAAGCAATAGCACTTGGAAAAACATCATTGCACAGTTAAATAGATTTTTCTAAAAAGCCAGAGCCAAGAAGGCTTCTATTAAGCTTTCAATAAATAAATATACAGCAAATGCTCAAAATATACTGAAGGCTGACTTCACCAATCCTTCAATTTTACAAAATAGGTAAGAAATGCAATATCTAAATCAAAGCCCTTTTCAGGAAACTTTTGGAACTAGTAATTTATTGTACTACTAATTGCATAAATCAGTTGAGATATTATGAGTATTCATTTTCTAGTTTACCATTCTTTTCTATTCTTTCCATCTGTTTATGTGACCAGTTTTATTTATGTCCAGTTTTAATCTGAAACCCCAAAAGATTCAACCTAGCATATTTATTGCTATGTGCACAAAGGGTGATTATTAAAAAGGAGCAGACAGGTGAAAAGCTTGAAGAGAGAGTATGATATGACATTTTATCATCATATTTATTATTTATCAAATGATGCTGGTAGAGCAATAGCCTGCTGAATTCTATATTGCTTTTCAGACCATTCCACATAACATTTTAGAACAGTGGCCCCCCAACATTTTGAGTGCCAGGGACCAGTTCTGTGGAGAGTGGTTTTTCCATGGACCGGGGTCATGGTTTCACACACTGCCTGGATCCCGGGTATCTGTCGATGGGGCTTCACTTGCTTGCATAGCCTGGTTCCTGGTGGGCCGCAGATTGGTGCTAGTCTGTGGCCCAGGGGTTGGGGACTCCTGTTTTAGAATGTTCAATTTTTTTGAACAAGTATTTGGTCAAGAAGATATTTTGTTTACTAAACAACAGCAATATTCCTTGGTTCATAAACTCAATCCTCTAAAACAATTGCAAGGGGAAGACTGAAAAAAATGCTTCCTGGTTTAAACTAGCCAGAGTTTATTAGAACTGGGAATTCTAGTTTAGTTTACATTATAGTTTGTTGAATGCAACCAGAATAAGAATCTTTGATTCTGACTAGTGTTAAAAAAAACACTATTGGTTTTGAGACAGTTTATGCTGTCTCCTCTATGCTGGAGAAAAAAATGAGGTGGGGGCAGGCAAGAGAATGCAGCATTACCAGACTAATTTGTATGTTGTAAACTTTGTGCTTTAACTGATATTTTTGTCTTAGTTCAAATGAAAATTTGGTTCTTGAAATGGTAGTTGCTGGAGACTAGGTGTGAAGCAAAGAGGGAAGGTACATTTTTTTATTTTTGTAGGTATCTAGCATCAGAACAAATCATTTCTCATCCTCGTTGTCAAAATAAAAATAAATATTTAGAAAGTAATCTAAAGTGGCCTCTCTTTTTTTAGAAATAAGCAACTTGGGAACAATGAAACCAAAGAGCTCTCTGGAAATGAACAGAAATGCTACTTGGAGAATTTTTGAAAATCTCATAGCTGTTTTCACTGATAGAAATAACTACAAGTGCAACTTTCCCTAGGAATGGGGCTAACTCAAAAGTGCAGTCCGAGTACTGCTCCTGTTTCATACTCCTGCAAAGTATTACATTAATTATAGAGGAAATTAAGAAAGAAAAATAATGTTCGCTTTATATGTTTGTGTTTAAGAAAACTCAGTTTTGTCTGCCATATATATGAAAATTATGAGGAGCTTTTAGATCCTTATTTATTCAATAGCTTGCAGCAGAATCTCATAGAATCTTTGATGACCCAGCTAAAAAGTTGTTCTACAAGAGGAAGGACATATGTATAGATTGTATAGCACAATTTAATATAGTTTCCATATTAGGCTGGGAATTGCCTAAAACTAAGCAATTTCTAAAAGCACAGGAGAGTTTTAAGAGCAAAACAACATCTCACAAAGGCCAAATTCTTACAAATTAATTCACTTTAATTGTACAGCATTTTGTTTGGATAACTCTGTTGATCCTATCTTGTTGGAATAATAAAGAGTTAGATAATATACAGAATTTATCATTAAAATAAATGTATTATTTTCAAACTCCTTAGGGATGATGGTGCTGTTTTATCACTTTTTAAAAGAGCTCCTCTCTGTGAATTTGCTTCCAGCTTTGAAAACCATTTAATATATTGCTTAATATTTTAGAACTAATTCACCTCAGTAAAAAAAGACTCTGATTTAAAAAGAAAAGCAAGTAGCAGTCAGTTTAAGAAGAATTCTATCTTTTTTCTTAAAACTGCTAAAAGAGCTGTATGTTTATAATTTCAAAGGGTTGGTTGGTGTGACAGAACTTTTGAAGATGTAATATTTGTGATACCAAATAAGTACAAAAGTCATCTTTGGTTGCCTGTGTTCAGCTGTATTGTTCTGCCGTACGAAGAATTTTCAGCAGATGCTTGTTTTAGGTGCTCCTTTAAAAAAAAAACAAATACACATACAATATTCATTTATTGGATTCCTGTAATTTTTTTCCAATCATACTCTGAAAGATTATTGAATTTCCAAGATACTGTAGTAGGGATGAAGATGAAGATCTAGTTCTCCCAAACCTAATACTGGAGGAGAGCACACAAGATAGCATTTAACTGATTTAGACCCACATCCTAAAGCTGGCTGGAAAAATTGATAACATGAAATTAAATTTTTAATTAACAGAGAATGATCCTCTTTTAAGTTACAGATAGAATTTAAATACAGTATGTTACTAAGAATACTAAGAACCAGTTAAAGAAATTCAATGGAATTCTTATCCTGGCAGCCAGTTACAGTCCTCCTCCCCCCCTCCTTTCTCTTCTTCCCCCTTTTCTTCCCCTTCTTCTTTCCTTTCTTCTTTCCCTTTCCCTTTTCCCTCCTC